GTTGGTAGTAGGTAGTAGGTAGTAGGTAGTAGGTAGTAGGTAGTAGGTAGTAGGTAGTAGGTGGTAGGTGGTAGGTGGTAGGTGGTAGGTGGTAGGTGGTAGGTGGTAGGTGGTAGGTAGCAGGTAGCAGGTAGTGGGTGGTGGGTGGTGGTGGTAGTAGTAGTAGCAGCAGTAACAGCAGCAGGAGCGGGAGCAGCAACAGCAGCAGTAGCACGAGCAGCAGCAGCAGCAGCGAGAACGCACAAGCATGGGAACGACAACAGTTCTACAGACTCTTAGAACAGCCGTCTGGACCACCCAGCCAAGAGTCTTGGAAACGCTTACCAAAACCTTGGGAGCTCCCGGCGCTGTGGAGCTCGTTGGAGGCGGGGGTACAACCATCAGGCTTGTGCCAACCTGCTTGATGCCCTCAAACCGGGAGACGTGCGTAGGGGATGTGAAAGGAACCTTCCGCTCTGGCGTCCAGTCTGTCGGCAGATAGCCGATCGGATGGTCCATGTTGGCCTCGACGCATCGGTGACCGTAAGCTCAACCCATTCTAGATCCAAAGCCCAAGCACTAAACCGTCCTTGAGCTGTTGAGGACATAGTGTCGTGATACATCCGGAAACCAGCACCAGGTTGCCTTGTCGGAATGCCTGGGATGATTCGAACTCTGGGGTTTCGACTTGGGAATCTCTCGCCAAAGCGTTTTTCGGACTCCTAGAAGGCACAATGTTCCCGGAACCCGAAAGGTGAATCTAAACTGTAGCAAAGGCGCGGAAGGTTTCCCTTCTTTCTCGGGCGTAGTTTGAAGGTCGAACAAGCTCCAATGCTTTTTGAGGTCAAGGTTCCACTGCTGCTCGTCGTATCGATACTGCATGGCTGAGACGGCACAGTCTTGCAAGAGGCGGGCAAGGCCAAAGCTTCCACTTGGGTGGCTGCTTTATTCTAGCACACGCATACACAGACTTAGGCAGTTCAAAGGCGTTTTCTACTTTGCTTTCATTTGGGGGAGCAAGGAACCGAAACACTGCTGGCGGACCGAACCATCATCCATCCTCCTCTCCACTGCCACCTCCCAGAAGTGGCACAATACTGTTGCGGCATCATGATGTACTTCCAACACAGCCCAGGAGCACTCCCTGAATCTGAATGTAGTAGACATTTTCTGACTTGCGAAATCCCGTCTGCCAGGATCCTGCATAGTTTCTCAGATCCTGAACACTGAAGCCTTCGACGTGCGAATTATCTCGTTGACCTCGATGCTCCTTCTGCGGTGTCAACAGTATACATATGTATATATATATATACATACATATATATGGTACCATATATATATATATATACATACATACTATATGTACATATGCATGTGTATGTGTACATGTATATAAATGTGTGCAGGTGCATATATATACACACATATATATATATATACACACACAGACACACGGTGTCCTTTGAAGCCTCGGGTGGCGGCTGACTGCGTAGTTCGGCAAGCTCCTTTCGGAGCGAGTCACGCTGAGCCTCCTGGGCTAGGGCCAGAGACTCCAGCACCCTGTATTGGATTCTTACACTATTTGGGAGTTTCCAAAAATTAGGGGTACCTTATTTGGGGGTCCTTATAATAAGGATCCTGCTAGTTAGGGTACTATATTAAGGCTTCCCCTAGTTTTGGAAACCCCCATTTTGAGACTTTATATAGCTCACCAAAGTCTATTGTATCATGTTTCCTTGTCATGGCTACAAAGCGCAGCCTTGAAGTACGACTGTTACAATGTAAAGCTATCATCATTCTTACGATCCTATTACCTACTTTAGCTGTGGCACAAGGCTTGCATTTCATTGCAACCGTGTTCCTACATTGGGGTTGGAGAGCATCCGTTTCAGGAGTTGGGGTTCATGGTTTGGATCGGAAAGGGGTAACCCACCGGAATCTTCCCTTAATGCTTTACATGCGGGCCCTCATGCGCCCAAGTCCAAGCGAATCCATGAAGGATCCCGACACTTGCAACCCAAATCCTGAGAAACTCATACTCATACTCTTGATCTCACACATGTTCACGCCCTACGCCGAACCCACAACCCTGCACTATCTCAAACATCGGCGCCCTACACGAACAAACGAGGTCCATCAAGTGATCAACAACATGTCAAGTCTGGAAGAGCATCCAGCATGGCAAAGCCATTCTCAAGCGCGGTCCAACCTCGGATGGCTGGCAACGTCTCCGGGTCAGTTTCCGTGGCAACCGTGAGTGAAATGTTGTCAATCTCGGGGCTAGGGGTGCTGCGAGTATTGCTAAGCTCAGCATGTTCTTGCAGCATGTGCACTCGTTGAACTAGGTTGGGACTGTAAATGAAAGCCTTTGCAACACATACGCAAATAAGGTCTTCTCAAACCCAGTAACGGATAGTGGCCTACCTAGTAAAGCTCGGATTTAGAGGCGTGGTACTTTCTTGCAAGCATAAGCACAGCGAAAAGCCCTCTGCCACATTTAACACAGGCACTCCTCGTGACTGTTCGTGACTGTTCGGACATGGCTAGAGTTTCGATGACTTGCGGCTGTCAGCGTGCACTGGCCACCTGTGTGTTGACATCAACAATGCTCGTGAAGAAGGCTCAAGCCAGCGCATCGATGCGCCAGGAGGTTTGCGCAAAGCTGCAGCCAGAAACTGCCAACATGAGGAAGCCTCAATCGTTTAAGCCGAGGACGTGGAAAAGCCAAGACCTGCGCAAGCCTAAACCCCCAGACCCTAAACCCTCAACTGCAACCTCAGAAGAGCCGAGCAGCGGTTTTGCCAGCCTCCCTGGGAAGACTCTTGCTCCATCGCGCTTCAGCAATCAAGTCTCCAAGCACAAAACTGGGTTCATCGCGGGATTTGTGCGAAGTAGCGGTTTTTGTAGAGAAGGGGCACAAAGGCTGATGGCAGTATTCGTAGTGGTCAAGGTGCTGGTGGTGCTGGTGGTGGTTCGGGCCACGTAGTGGTGTGGTGCTGCTGGTGGTTGTTTTATGGTGGTGGTGGAGTAGTAGTCGTCGTCGTGGTGGTAGTAAGAGTAGTAGTAGTAGTAGTAGTAGTAGCAGCAGTAGTAATAGTAGTACCTAGTAGTAGCTACGTGGGTCGTAGTGGGTAGTAGTGGGTGGTGGTAGTAGTAGTAGTAGTAGTAGTAGTAGCAGTAGTAGTAGTAGTAGTAGTAGTAGTAGTAGGGTTCAAGGCTGCAGGTTTCTGTCTGTCACTGTCCAAGACAAAAAGTCTTAAGCCAAACATGGCAACATGTCATGTCGACATGCAGCAAGATTTGCAAGCCTGCATCGGCAGTCTAGGTACAGGCTGCAGTGTCGGAAATTTTCTCGTAAAGCCTCCTGGAGGGTAAATGGTCTGTTCCGCGCGCATCCGTCTCTCCGTTTTTTGCGAGGGCGAGAAGCTGCCAGCTGAACGTGGTGCAGACTCCTCGCTCAGGACATCGGTGCCTTGGCAAGCATTTTTGCCCAATCGAACCCACCATCTCCAGCTTAAATCTGTAGGCCCTAAGCCCCTAAGCCCCAAACCCTAAACCCTTAACTCCACAAAACCCCAAAAGCCGGAGCGGGGAAAAGAAACCCCGCGCATTCTCACGAGGCGCTGCGGGCGGAGCATCGGCAGCTTCGGCGGCATCGTCATCATCTATTTGGATCGGAGCCTCGGGAAGAGCAACTGCAATGTTGAGACTACCGGGGCTGGGACGAAGTTGAATATGCAGCTTCGTCGGTTTGTGACTGCGACATCCCCAGTTCCTGTCCCGTTAGCAGCAGGGACAGCAGCAAGAGGAGAAGCACTAACAGTACTGATTCTTGCCGGAGACGTCGCAAATCGGACGCCGAATAGTCGTCAGTGTAACAGGTCAAGTGCCCAGCAAGAAAAGTCCTCGCACCTAAAGGGCAGTCGTCATTGCGATGGTTAATCTTATTGTCTTCATGATTTTGCTCTTAGTACTAATGCATCATTACTCGTTGCGAGCCTCATGGAGATGGCGGCATTTGTATTTGCTAATCGTCGTCGTCGTCGTGATGGTCGTCGCCGCTGTCGTCGTCGTGGT